AAGTAAGACATAATACTCTAATAACTTTTTATTTTATTAGTAATTTTTACACGACACCTAAACTTTTTGTTTGCACATAAAAAATCTACTACGTCTACTTGGGGTTTGTTTTTTGTTACCTTTTTATATTTTATTACATAATTGCATTCAATAAAGATTGATTTATCGTTAAAGTGCCATATATTTCAAAAGGCCATCGATGTCTTGAAGAATCGAAGTTTTAAAGGGGCGTTATGAGCTCATAAAATTGTTTAATACCGTAAATATTTCCCGGTCGTGCATCAAACGTAACGGGCGAAATAAAATTATCAGGCAATTCTCGAAACTGGCGTCAGAAGAGTTTTAACTTTTGCACATTTTGGAGAGTTTATTCGCGAAAGAAACTTCGTTCAAAACGGCGGTGATACTTTCTTTACACGAGGAAGAAAGAGTTAACTCCGTTTTTCTGAATTTCAAAATTGCTTTGAAAACTTCTCTCATATATACACAAAGAAAGTTTTATATGAAGATAAAAAATAAAAGCCATTGTGTTATCCGACCACCGCAGTTGGAGAAAGCGCCGGTGGAAATTTTGTTTGTTCGGTCTTTCTAACATCTTACTATACTCAATTATGTTTTTATAGTTTTTGAAGCTACTATCTATTTTGATTAAATACTAGCTGACCCGGCAAACGATGTTTCACCATGTAAGATATTTGTAAACAATTTATAGAGTATCGAAGCAATTACTAATTTATTGTAAATGTATAAGGATGTGTTATATAAAAGTAGTATAGACAATAAGGTAATATAAAAACAATAAGACTCCGAACTTTACTTTTTAGAGCACAGATTTTGAATTAAAAAGTGTATTTTCATATTAACTTTTCAGAAAAGTTTCTAAAAGCACTTATGACCCGTTTAATAAAACTACTTACTACAACTAAATAAAAAAATTCTAAAACATCTTATTAAAAATATGAGCCGCCGGTCTTTCTACAAAAACTTTTAAATTCAAAATGTGAAGTTTCTACTCGGTTTTGAAATAATTTCTTAACTTTTTTACGATCTCTAGATTACCAACATTTCAAGACTAAATTTGGCCAAATCGGTTCAGCGGTTTTCGAGTTTTAGCATACCTGTCATATCATAATATTGAACACCATTTTTATATATAAGAAGATTTTTCTGAACTTTTTAATAATTGCGATTTTTTAAATCAATTTTGTTTTTATTAATGCTCTTAATTTAATATAATACTAAAATCTCAATTTATAGTTCCAATCACATTTTATTACGTTTAATACACTCACGGTTAAGATAATATTTGATTACATGCATATCTACTGTTGTAAATTTGTATTTTTTATGGCTTCAGGCTTGAAGATTTATGCCATAATTAATCACATATTTTCACATTAATTTGAAATTACATTTATTACATAAAATTTTCTTAAAATGTTCAGAAACACATTGACGTTTGCAGAAGGCTGGTTATTATTTAAAATATGATTTCATTTATTTCATTCTGTCATTACAATTAAAATGTTTTTCGAATTATTCAAATCGGAATCTCTGTTCTCTTAAAAACCTTATTTCTATTTTCTGCACTCTCTGCTCCGTATCTTCGAAACGGTTGGACCTGTCTTTGCCAAAAAGTAATCATCACGTCTTCCTATCAGTAGGAATCGAATGTTTTTTGAGTAATTCAAATCGGTCGATCCGTGCGCCCAAAATCGTTGTCGAAAAATTGTATTCACACAAAACTTCCACACAAGCACACTTGCATACACACAGAAATAATATATTTTTTCAATATGTTCAGAAATCTCTGAAACGTAAAGATATGAAAATATTTTCATTTTCGACTTTTGGACGATTGCTATAACTTACCCCCTGAGAAGTTAAAAAAAGTCAAAATACCAATTCCACATTGTATTATTCTTATTTATTAATATGCGAATTGTCTTTGCAGTTGTGATTTTTAGGCAACCCAGCGGTTGACTTATTTATATTTGATATATTTGTATTATTAGAATTGTTCTAATACTAGTAATAGATTTTTAATTTGATGCAGTAATCAAATGGTATCAAGCAGCAGTAAATACTTTATACAAAATAAAATTTGACCAAAGTAAAATTACAAAACAAAATTTGGCCCAAGTAATTGGCTAATTTTCTTATGTTTCACTCACTAGCTCTTCTCTTATTTAAAAACTTGAGCTTAAGTTTATTTCATACAAATCATGTTGCGAAATATTTCACTTTACCAGTTAATAATTTTAAAGTGGTTTTGTATTACATTCTGTAATTTGCAATAATGAAATTTAACTTTTCTTAATGAAAACGTAATTTACTTGAAGTACACTTTTATGCAATCAGGTGTCTCTTCAACTCTTCCACTTGCAACTTTATACATGAATAATTTTTAAGAGGTTTTACATCGATGTAATGAATTCATGTAAGTTTCAGTAAAGTTTTCAATATTCATGCAATTTAGAATTGTTAATACAGTTTTCATAGTAATTTAAAATTAATTGGTTTATTATTTTATTTATTCCTATATTTAATTGCGTTTATGGAAAAAGTACTTTTTTAACTCTGTTTTATTCAGCAATCAGAAATACATAAGGATACCTATGAGCGAAATTGACAATATTTGAGAGCGATGTCTAAGAAGAACTCCAGTGAGATCTTTTTAGTTTAATAATTGAAAAGATAATGTTATATTGAAGCTAATCTAAAACTAAATCTAAATCAGTAGCATAATGTATGGAAGTTGGAGCGTAACATGGCCTTGCCATAACATTGGTCTATTATGCGGCAGAATTGATCCCTGAATTTGTATTTTAAAGTAAATTTGCTTCTTTAATTTACCATGTTTACATTATATGATAAAATTGCATACAATTTTACGGTCCATTATTTTTTATCATCCTGAATCATCGGAAGGAGTTTCATTTCTACTCAAGTTTCTTCAATTGGCTTAGCTTTGCATAGCGAATCTATACTATGTACAGTTTAATTTTCATTGTTCATTATAACAGAAGTATTCTATTTAATTAATATTCTATCTGTACAATAGGAAATATTCAATTTAATTAAACGTTATACAAATAACTTGAAGTTATCGATATTATTATCCGCTTTCATACTGAGGTTGTCATAGTACAATAATGGAAATATGTAAAATATCTTCTGAGAGTGGTTTTGTTAAGTAACATCTAATTACGCATATTGGAATTGAATTTGAATGCTGAAATGATATTTATATGATTTTGCATGTAAATGTCATTTAACTTATATTTTCATATAAATGTATATCTGATGAATTTCTCAACTTGCAAGTTTATCATCGACATTGAAGATTGCTTCACACTTTTGCATAGTATTGCCTGGAATGTCTGGAATTTTTAATTGAAAACATATTTTTGATCTATATTTTCAAGTAAAAAGAGGTATCTCGCTACAAATTTACATTAGGTATCCTGTGGTCAACCACTTTTTTTGGTTTATATTTTATATTTTGAACCAACAATTCTGAAAATTCATCAGTAGAAAATTGTAGTGAATCTTGCATTTATTTGATTTTATATAGGCAATAATATTAATTATAATTAGTTAATAATATGATAATTAACAGTAGGTACAATAGGAAATTCAGTTCTTAGTGAGTTGATTTAGGGGAATTCACTTATAGTGAATTTACTTCTAGGGAAGAATGCTGCGTTTAAAAGAATTTGCTGATTTATGTATTTTCTAAGAGCATTTATTAAAAAACACGTTACTTTAATTATTTCATTAACTTGTTAATTTTAAAAACTGAAATTTTGAAAATTCGGAAAAGTAAATTTGAATAAATAAGAATGTCTTTGAAATTTTTTCTAAACTTGATATGTTAGATTTGTATTTAAAATGTAATATAATATGATAATTCTTAAACTTAATTATGATTTTAGGTAAGTTTGCTAACATATATGTTCTGAAAGTTTTTAATAAAGTATACTATGCTAATACTATAATATAACTTTTTCATTAATTATGTCAAAAATCAAAATCTTCAAAAATTTTAAAAAGAAAATTTTTATAGAATGTTGTGCAAAATGACTAAAATTTTATAAACTTGAAATGTTAGATTTTTTACTATATATTATAATGTGATCGATTTTAAACTTAATTATGCTTTTATATAAAAGAAACATAAAAAAAATTCTGATTTACCTATATATTTTTCAGGAGCATTTAATAAAAAAATATCTTATTAAAAATAACTTTTCAATAAAATTCACAAAAAAACAAAATTTTATAAAGTGTAAATTTGAAAAAATGTGAATGTTTTAAAAATTAGTAAATCTTTCAAAACTTGACTTGTTGGATATTTTATTTTGTTATAATATAGTGTGATCTATTTTAATTAGATTTTTCCGCGTTTTCAACAACCTGATATAAAGCAGTAGTGATATGAATATTCACATGAAAATATAGATCATCTATCATATGTTTCCCCGTGGAAACAACCTTTTAAGTAATAGTATGTTTAAAAAATTTAAAACATATCATCACGATTAAAAATTAGAAATGATGAAAAAAGGGTTCTTATTACGGTTGACAATTGTAATTTACTAAATGCCCTCAACTGGACTGTTATGAATATAGTAGTGAATAAAAGAAAAGAAAAAAACAATTAGAAAGGATACAATTGATTGCCTTCTAATATACAAGAAATCAAGATAATAAGGATATCTATTGGGTAATAACATCTTATATACCAAAACTGAATTTAGAATAGTTTAGTACATTAATAAAAGGTGAACCACTAGATTTTTCTTTTAAAATTCTATGTTATTTATCAAATTCATTACTCAATATCTTTCTATATAGACAGACTGAAATTTATAAGAAAATAAAAAAAAAATAATAACATCTTATAAAACTGATAGTCTTACTCTTTCTTCTGATTGTTGTTCAAAAAATACAATAAAAAATATATTTTATTAATATTATTTTTTTTTACCTTTCAGAATCATGCAGGTACATGAAAGGGCAGTGGTCAGAATGTAATTCCAAAAACAACACACGTTCAAGAACTTTGACCCTGAAGAAAGGTGATGCCGTCGCATGTGAGCAGACAAAAACAGTCCAAAAGAAATGCAAAAAAGGTTAGAATTTTCTATTTTAAAATTTTTATCATTTGCAATTTGAAAATATTGTAGATTTTTGGATTAGAATTGTAGGAAATACGGTGGCTGAGTCGCCTATTAATCTGAGCATAGGAATAAGATATTGCAAGTTATTGGTTTGAAGCAGTAGTATCAGATTGGATAGTAACTTGACACATTTGGGTAACTTAAGGGATGGTTTTTGAATCTCTTGAAAAAAGATTAAACTGGCTTTTGTTATATAATTTGATGTGATTATTCTTCAAATCTTAGCTTACCGTCATCAAGATTACATTATAAAATTGTTTGGATCCGTGTTTTAATAGATGGCTAAAAAATAGGTTGTTGGTTACATATATCTTTTACCATTGCTTTTCTTTTATCATTTTTATATTTTTGTTAGTTTAAATACTAGAATTTTTTTAACGTCTTATGATGATTATAAAATATCTCATTTGGTGCCTATAAAACACAAAAAAGATACCTATAAATTTCAATAAATTAACTGACATTGGATATCCTTCTGCCATTCCAGGAATTTATTGCACATCACGTGTTTGGCTATGTAATCGCCGCTTGTTAACGTGCTCTCATTAATTAATTGTGATTTTGGTTTTGGACGACTAATTACATTTAACATGGAATTATATCGGAATCTCTAGATAATACTTTTGGGGTATTACGCATATAATTTTATTATGCAATACGCTAATTGGCAATAGAGTACACATATTTCAAATTACGTTATATTAACCTAGATTTTTTTAAATATAGTGCTTTTCCCTTAACCAAATTTTATTCCACTGGAAAAATTAGTTATATTTTTTGTTTATTAATTTTACTAGCAATTTTGTCTATTTTTTTCCTCGTGGTCTTTTTTCTTATATACGTACAAATCATTTACCTTATTATTATATTTATTTTATTTTTTTTAGAAAACTTGTAAACATCATCCTTATTCATAGCCAAGAGCTTTTCCATGGTTCAGTGGTATAGGCTTGGTCTTGATACTTTAGGTTTCCAATATTATTTTTGTCTCGGAATATCCTTGGTATCAAGCAGTGGTGATATCAGCTTTTACGTGAAATAGTAGATCTAAAATATGATTGCAAGTGAAAGTAGCCTCTTGGGGTATTGCTGCAATATATACACATTGCTATTTTTGTTATTATTTAAGCGGCCAGAAGTTGAGGGGTCGGAAGTTAAGGGTTTTTATAAACTGTTGTGATGATTTACTAAAGTATATCCGTTTTTATTTACCCAAATAGTTATTCCATATCTTTATCTCATATATGAGATGAATCTTTATTATTGAAGCAATACCGAGTATGGGTTATTTTTAGTTGGAAACATATTACTATCTATATTTTCAAGTAACGTTTCAAGAACTACTGCTTGACATCAAGATGTTCGAGGTGGATATCAAATTTAGTACCTTGAGTATATACCTCATAGTTCTATATAATTTTTTGTTTTGCTTTTTCGGGCAGTGCATTTGTATGGACTAATTTTTAATTAGCATCATTCGTAAGTCTAAATATTTGTCTATTACTGACGAAAATTCTGTTGAATTCTATGTACACACATTTACACATTCACACATTTACACATTTACACATTCGAAAATTGAAATAACCGGCTTCTGCATAATGAATAATAAATAGTCGTCTGCCCGAAGGCAGGTCCATGGTGTTTCTGCATTTTGTTACATAATTTTTTGGTTTAAAACTATCAGTGGTCATATGTAACACGACCAAATGCATAATTATTTTTAAAGTATGCCTGATATATTTTTGATATAATTACCCTTATCATGTAGTATTGGTTTAAATATATATTTAAATATTAGTTATATTTTTTATACACCGATTAGAACTTTGGATTCTATTAGCTGTGATTGCTGACTTGCTGCCTTACTTTACAATTTTTTCATGAAATAATCAGATTTCTAATAACCTTGTCTAGAAGCAAATAACATTTTTTTGAAAAATTGTAAATAATTGCAAATAATAATAATGCGATAATAATTAATGCATACGTATAAATCAAATTGAAAGCAACATTTGTTGTGTTGTTGCATTTTCAATTCAATATGTAGATTCAGTAGTACTTCAGTAATGGAATTTAACAATCAATGTCAATTAATAACTACTCTGAACTTGTGGATTTATAAGCTTTCAACAAGTTTCTTACAACCAGGATATTGTAGCTGAAAGTCGTTAAACTCTAAATTACTATAACGCGAAGCTTAATTAATGAGTATCCAATTTCAACGATATAGTGTTGAAACTATATGGTTCTTATTGCTTTATTTTTAGTGAAGCTTCGACCATGTTCCACATCTGAGAAAATCGATTATCTCCAATAAAACTAACTGCCTTACGGTCTTTATCGCAATAATTGTTCCATCATAATTATTATAAGTCCACTAGCAAGTCGTAAATTAGAGTTACAAGCAATTATGTTTTACGATTTCCGACGAAACTAACAATAAACTACATCCAAGCGATTCCGTGTAAATATATATTTAAGCGCAGTGTTGTTATATACACAAAGCGAAATAGTTGCGGAGTTTGGAAACGGAAATTCAAACATTATCTAATGTTTGGGAAAACGTTAAATGAGCATATGGAACATGAGCTGATAATTTAAACTTTTCTGACATGCACCTACCTACTTCCTAGAATCATGTAATTTGCGCAAATTTAGTTATAATCAACTTTAACGCACTATAATCTATTTTTTATCTTAAGATGATATTCATACTCTCTTGGTTTAAAAAAAATATTTTTTTAATTTTAAAAAAACTTTTGCTTTGCTTATGCTTCAGGGCAGGTCCAGGAGCTGAGTTAAACTCCAACTCGATACGGAGAAGAATAATATGAGAGATTTTTCATTGCCATTTTACACCGCAGTGCCCGAAATGTGCTATTATCAATTAAAAGCATACATTTTCTATATTTAAACTATAGTCTATATATATGGGCCTTGGCCTTGCAACCCGTTCAGGTTCCCTTTCACGTCGAATCAAGCAGTAGTGATATCAGTTTACCCTTTAAATATGGATCTAAATATTACTTCAAGTAAAAATAGCATGCAGGCGCATTACTGCATATATATCACATTTTTATTAAAAATATAGTTATTTAATAATATAATCTAATCACAAAGAGAATGGACTTGGCCACTGGGTAGTCTTATAATAATGCTTGTTTATCCGACCAAGAACAGTTCTGTTCATAAAATTAAAGAGACATTTAAGAACAACATATATAGTTATATATTGCATCTTTTTATTTCGCTTTTTTATCTCATATTAAAATTTTACTCTTTTATAATCCTTGTTCGTGTACGATTTTAATGAACTTCCATTGATTGATAGTCAAATTTTCGTAAAATAGTAAACTTACATCATGTAAATAATTGTTTTGTCATTCATAAAAATAAGATACACCAAATATTCTAATTATTTTTCTAACATAAAATTATTAAATTGCTAGCAATAGAAAATGATGTGGTTGCAAGATACATCATTCGTTTGCATTTGTTTATAATACAATGTAAAATTACATATTATAGCATTTAATTTTATGGCAAATTATAATATATAAATTATTTGATAGATATGAGATTTTTAATACGTGACTTTTTAGAAGGCAATTCAAGATATGATCTATATTTATTTGATGTTTCTTTGATATATTTTCTTAATAGAATTTCTCTAATACTGATGATTTTATATTCATGCAACAATGTGGAAAGAGGGCTAATTTCATTTAAAAACATATTTTTATCTGTGAAATTCATGCGCTGATTCTGCCGCACAACAGACCAATGTTATGGAAAGGCCATGTTACCCCCTAACTTCCATACATTATGCTACTGAATCATACTGAATATTGTCAAAATGTCATGTATTTACTATGCATTCAGGCGTTTTACACATAAACTGCTAAGTCATTCGTGTGTTATGAAGCTGGGTCAGGAAGACCCTGTTATCTAAGATCGTTTTTTGACATTTGTGCTGTTTTTAGGTTAGATTTTCTATCTGATAAGCTGAGAAAAACACCTGCCTGCACAGATAGTTAAAAACAAATTTTGATCCAACTGCTTTTATATTATTAGCAAATTCATTACTTTTGCAAAATCCTTCATAAACTATCTAGGCGACGCTTACATATTAGAACAAATACTTCAAACATATATTCCTTAATAAACTAAAATATTTGTATTGAACTGTTTCTGACCAATTTTGATATACAAGGAAATTTTTATGTTTTAAAAAGTTTAGTTTTTTAAGCTATTGTGACCAATTGGGCTTTAAAGTCCCTTCTTTGGGGGCGATTCATCTAAGGAGTATAATTGGAAAGATCACCTTAGCACTCTAACTTGTCCTCTAGAAACACCTGTAATTACCTGTGGGGGTTAGTAGGAAATTAAATATACGAACAAAAGTCAGGATTGCTTGTTAAAAAAAACCTATTTAATAATTATAAATTATTTACAAGTAATCATGGAACTTTTCCGGTTTTGTACCTAATATTTATAATTTCCATTATAATATGACCATGCCCATTATCACCACACAATATTTTTAATGTGAATCTCTTTACTTTTTAAACTTAATCATTTTTACTGCCTTGTGAGTTATTGTTTTGAGTATTGTCAAAAATGTGTATGAATTACATTTAAGACCCTATATGTTGGTAATAACTTAAAGTTGACACTAATCGAGCACCTCACTAAATAATCGTGGAATTAATCATAATTTCACGAAGGCTTCGCCGTCTCTCCGTCTAGGAATCCTTTTAGTGTTGCCCCCAGAGTACAAGGATATTTCTTGTATGCGGACGGAAAGCAATAAATATAACTCGTAATGTACGATATGATATTTCGAATTAGCGAGCGAGCACAATAGAACGATTTATTACGTCGAATATGGCGGAGAATTTTTTTTAGCAAAAATAAAATAGCTAGAATGGCTGGCAGTATTCGTTGTT